TTACCTCTCCCTTTACAGAAGCTTGCAAAAGTATTGTATAGCCCCCCCCCCCACCCCGGCATTTTTCCTATTTTGTTGCATTACCACCTGGAATTAAAATTGAGTTATTTGGGGGTTTGTATCATTTTGATTTACACAACATGCCTACCACATTGAAGTTGCAACATATTTTTATTGTGATACAAACAAAAAATAAGACATACAAACAGAAAACTTGAGCGTGCATAACTATTCACCCAACCCCCCCAAAGTCAATACTTTGTAGAGCCACCTTTTGCATCAAATAGAGCTGCAAGTCTTTTGGGGTACGTCTCGATAAGCTTGGCACATCTAGCCACTGGGATTCTTGCCCATTTTTCAAGGCAAAACTGCTTCAGCTCCTTCAAGTTGGATGGGTTTCTGTGGTGTATAGCAATCTTTAAGTCACAGATTCTCAATTGGATTGAGGTCTAAGCTTTGACTAGGCCATTCCAAGACCTTTAAATGTTACCCCCTAAACCACTCTAGTGTTGCTTTGCAGTATGCTTAGGGTCATTGTGCGCTTGAAGGTGAACTTCTGTCCTAGTCTCAAATCTCTGGCAAACTGAAAGAGGTTTCCCTCAAGAATTTCCCGGTATTCAGCGCCATCCATCATTCCTTCAATTCTGACCAGTCTGCCAGTCCCTGCTGATGAAAAACATCCCCACAGCATGATGCTGCCACCACCATGGTGTTCTCAGGGTGATGAAAGGTCTAGCGTTTGCACCAGACAGCGTTTTCCTTGAAGGCCAAAAAGCTTAATTTTAGTCTCATCTGACCAGAGTTCCTTCTTCCATATGTTTAGGAAGTCTCCCACATGTCTTTTGGTAAACAGCAAACATGTTTGCTTACTTTTTTCTGTAAGCAATGGCTTTTTTTCTGGCCAATCTTTAACCCCTTCATGACTGAGGCCCTTTTTTCATTTTTTGCACCCATGTTATATTCCAATCACTTTATACTTTCACTTATATCTGATGCGGCGCCATCCGTAGTCATTGCGAGCACCCACATCTCCACATGGGAAGTCCGGTAAGGAGTGCTACAGGTCCTTGGACATTTGTACTGGCGACAGGTAAGTCGCCAGGATCGCTTCTGTTGTAAAGCCGACAGTCGGCTCTACAAGTTTAAACAGAGTCCCGGCGGCAAAAGTCGCCGGGAGTCTGTTTAAACAGCCCCGATGCTGGCGACGTACACTGTACGTCGTCAGTCACGAAGGGGTTAATGAAGGCCAGCTCTGTGGAGTGTGCGGCTTAAATCGGTCCTATGGACATATACTCCAATCTCCACTGTGGAGCTTTGCAGCTCCCTTAGGGTTATCTTAGGCCTCTTTGTTGCCTTTCTGATTAATGCCCTCCTTGGCTGGTCCATTCATTTTTGTGGGCGCCCCTCTCTTGGCAGGTTTGTTGTGGTGCCATAATCTTTCTATTAATGGATTTAATGGTGCTTCGTGGGATGTTCAAAGTTTTGGAATTTTTTAAAAATAATCCAACGCTGATCTGTGCTTCTCCCCAACGTTGTCCCTGACCTGTTTGGAAAGCTCCTTAGTCTT